TATCTTACAATATGATTATTTTTATCTCACAATTACAAACTTATTTCCCATAATTGAAACGTATTATGTTGTATCTCATAAATGCAACTGTATTTTCCATGACTGTGACTTTATATCTTGCACTATAACTTTGTATCTCAAGATTACAACTATATTTCTTGTAGCTACAACCTTAAATCTTACCATTTTGAATTTATATCTTACAATATGACTTTTTATATACTTTCAGCTTCATTTCCGATAACATCAACTTTTTATATCTCATACATGCAACTTTATTTCCCGTAATTGTGAATTATTTTTTCTTTATTTCTCACAATTTCAACTTTATTTTTTGTAACTACAACTTTAGAGCTTAGAATTTTGACTTTTATCAATTATCTCATAAATGCAAATTTATTTCCCATAATTATGACATTATATCTTACACTATTACTTTTAATCTCAAATTGCAACTTTATTTCTCACTTCAATCTTAAATCTTAGAATTGTGACTTTATATCTATACTTTTTTATATCTAATAAATAGAAATGTATTTTCTTTAATTGTAACTTTGTATTGTACACCATGTTTTTTTGTATTGCATAATTGAAACCTTATTTTACATACATAAAATTTATGTCTCATAAATGCAGCTTTATTTCCCCTATTTGTGACAAAAGAGAGAATGACGAGTTGATTTTTCTTGCCAGAATTGTGAGATATAATCTCGGAATTTAAAGAAAAAAGTCAGAATTTTGAAATATAAACTCAAAATTACCTTTTTGATTCTTTTATTCCATGGCTTGCATAGACTGCTATGTTAAAACAGGCATTTTCTTCCACCAGATAGGCTCCGCCCACAAAAAACTTCATCACTGTTTGCAAACACTGAAATTGGTCTATAATGCATATTAAAGTAGTTCTTTCTTCATGTTTCCAGCTCACAAAGCAACGACAACCAGTATTCAAACATTGCACCAGGGACAAAACACTCGGTCCCTCTCACTGTTGTGGTTTATTTGGAGTTGAAGAATAGGTTTTTGGTAGATCCTTGTGTGCCTTTGCCATGTGTTATGTAAGACGTCCTTCAGTTCATGTACTGGTGAAGAGGGCAACTCCCATGTATTGTCTGGGATTTATTTTTCTGCCAGTTTGATATTTAAAGGAACCATATCATGAAAAATAGGATTTTCTAAGCTGCTAAACCTTTACTTATTGAAATAGTAAATGTATATCTTACAATATGATTATTTTTATCTCACAATTACAAACTTATTTCCCATAATTGAAACGTATTATGTTGTATCTCATAAATGCAACTGTATTTTCCATGACTGTGACTTTATATCTTGCACTATAACTTTGTATCTCAAGATTACAACTATATTTCTTGTAGCTACAACCTTAAATCTTACCATTTTGAATTTATATCTTACAATATGACTTTTTATATACTTTCAGCTTCATTTCCGATAACATCAACTTTTTATATCTCATACATGCAACTTTATTTCCCGTAATTGTGAATTATTTTTTCTTTATTTCTCACAATTTCAACTTTATTTTTTGTAACTACAACTTTAGAGCTTAGAATTTTGACTTTTATCAATTATCTCATAAATGCAAATTTATTTCCCATAATTATGACATTATATCTTACACTATTACTTTTAATCTCAAATTGCAACTTTATTTCTCACTTCAATCTTAAATCTTAGAATTGTGACTTTATATCTATACTTTTTTATATCTAATAAATAGAAATGTATTTTCTTTAATTGTAACTTTGTATTGTACACCATGTTTTTTTGTATTGCATAATTGAAACCTTATTTTACATACATAAAATTTATGTCTCATAAATGCAGCTTTATTTCCCCTATTTGTGACTTTATCTTACACTATTACTTCATTTCTAACAATTGTGTTCGTCTCTCAGAACTATCTTATATCTACCTTAACTTTATAACTCACAATATGACTAGTTTTCCTTATTGTAAACTTTGTCACAATTACCTGTTTTATTTTGTACTTCAAAGCAGAGACTGGCTTCTATAGAAGGTGAAGTGAAATGATCATGTGAAACTAAATTATAACTGAAATTGTGTTTATGTAGCACAGGATACTTTGACTAAGATTCTCACTCAGGGAAAAAAGAAAAGCTATAAAATCATAGAATACGGCTTCTATAAGTCTGTTTTGTCTATGATAACTGTGAATATTCTCTTCTGAAACGGTTCAGTCTTTCCAAAAACCATTCGCAGTGCTTGATGACAGATATGTGCTTAATTTTAATGAGGAAAATTAAAGTGGCTGTTGATCATTTGTAGACTCAATAGCCCCAGGAGTGTTATCACTTTGCTTCTCTGAAGTGAATTATTCCAACATGCCAAACAAACCATTGCTGTCAGCGTTCGTGTTTTCCCTCTTTCTTGTTTCACTCTGCGTTCTCAGCCTCACCCTTTCCCACGATAAGTATTACGAAACCCTTTCCTTCTCCATCCAGTTGTCTTCCATTCATACCAATGTAGGACCGGGTTCAGACCTCTGAGAAGAGCGTTGGTGTGGATAGATGTTTTTCTGTGTGTGGAGTTTTGCAGTAATTATGGTAATTTATGAAAACTCACTTTGGATAACAGCCACGCAGACTGCAACGGACGCCATCTGAGACACACACACACAGTGCCATGGGCTAAGATTGCAGGGTGCAGTGTAAACAGGGTCTGGACGAGCCCCTGCAGTCCCAGAACAGAGGCAGAGCTCCAGAACTCTATTAAACCATCTCAGCAAGACTCGAACAGCCTCCCCCATCACCTGCCGCACGCTCTCTTTTGTGTTATTGAAGGTGCTTAGAGATTTTGTTTGTGTTATTATATTGGATAAATTCATTTTGCCGAACAGTGAGAGTGTGACAGGTTCATTTACCATGTTTTGAATGGTGACATGTTGTTCACCTATTTGCTAAAATGGCCTGCTGTGTTGGAGAAAACGCTCGGGAAGGTGTATGTGTGTGTATATACTGTATATGTGTGGGTTAGTACTCGTACCCTTGGGCGTTTTATCCACTCTCGGGTTGTATTAAGAATGTCACGGTTACACAGGAAGTAATAGCTTGGTTTAGTGTGTGAGTGGGGAGGGAACCAATACACACCGTGTGACAAATTTATCAGTTCCCCTGTTCCCCATCTTGGTTTATCAACATTGGCATAATTTAGCTATAAAGAACAGCCTGTATATATGCAATATAAGGCAAAGAGCCATCTAGACCCTCAGTGACTTTGCAGTTCTGTAAAAATAGAAATGGTTTTTAATATTCCTAATCTAGAGCAGCTACTGAATGAATGATGCTGAGCAGGGATTAGAAGGAAAGCTCCTGGCTTTCTCTCTCTCTAGAGAGAGAGTGACTAAAATGTTGAATGCAATAATATGAGACAAAGAGCAAACAGAGTTAAAACTAGAGTTTACATTTGGTAAAGTACCGTAAATATGAGTGCTGCATGTTCATGCAGAAGTTGCAGTTCTCAGCCTTTTCAAGTTTTCATATTAAATTAATTTGCCATGATTCATTTTGTGATTTCAGAAATATCAAGAAATGCATATGTTATTCAATAAAAAATAGTTTTTAAGGAAAATAAAAAAATTTTTAAATCTTGTTGTTGTTTTTTACATTTAATTTTGTATATAGATAGATCCCTGTAAGTCTTTTTTTAGCATTTAATTTTGTATATATATATATACAGATCAATGTAAGTCCATTTTTGGCCATTTTTATAATTGAATAATGTGTTTTTGCATTTGATATTTCTCTCAACTTTTACTTAATTCATAGCAATGCATTCTGGGATTGCCTTCTCCTTTTCTGCATTAGAAACTAGTCAAAATAAGGTATCTTAGAAGGCAGCATACTTTTAAAACAGCCTTCTTGATGGGAGCACACCAATGCTGCCTTAAAGGGATAGTTCACCCCAAAATACAATTTGTCATCATTTAATCACCCTCAGGTCAGTCAAAATAATTTGGAAAATTTTCTCTTTTTTTCCTGTACAATGAATATCAGTGGGGTCCAGTGTTGTTTTTGACCCCACAGGCTTCCATTCTCTGGACAAAACCAGCTTATTAATACCTTCTTTTTTGTTTTGAAGAAAGTTTGGAACAATATGACGGTGAGTAAATGATTTAAAATGCTGTCAAGGCATACAACATACTAGAGTTTTTTCATTCAAGATTGATTCAGATTTTTTCTCGAGTTTACAGAGTTGCAGTTTCCAGACAAACAATCTCCATAAAACTCACTTAATACTACCCTCTACAAATAACGGTTCCAAAGGGATGTTTTCACAGTGATGCCATAGAAGAACCATTTTTTCACCAATGTTCAATTAACTTTTCAGTGAACAGTTCTTAAAAGAACATTTTTTTTCTTAGTGTAACATTTGTATAATCTAAAGAACCTTTTTCCACTATAAAGAACCTTTAGTGCAATGGAAAGTTTCCATGGATGTTAAAGGTTCTTCATGGAACCACAGATGCCAATAAAGAACCTTTATGTTTAAGAGTGTAGCTGTCTGTTTGCTTCATTGAGTTCTGAAGAGCAGAGAAGAACGGACAGGCGTTTAGTGCCGTTTTTAACAAGACATGGTCCCTGTTAGGACATACAGGCGATAATGTCCTACACACGCATGCAACGATCCCTAGTGTGTAATCTTGTTGGCAGCTTGAGGGTATTTTCCCTTTGTGTGTGTGTGTGTGTGTGTGTGTTTGTGTGTGTGTGTAGTCTGTCTGGTGAAAGCAGCCATGGGATTTACGGCTAATCTGAACAGCAGATGGCAAAACATCAGATATTCTGTTTGAGCAGGAGAATGGATATTTTACAGCACACACACTCACACACTTTATCCCTTATCATAAACATTAACATATACACAACAGCATGAACTTTGCTGTATAAACACACACATACATTCTTGCGCAGCGTCACGTGGCTCACGTGTGTGTATGTGATTATACTCATATTAATCCAGTGACCTGGATTGAGTTTGACTGGAGGAAGTGAGGCTGACGTATCTGGAGCGCACACGCCATTCCACGGCTATTACCAGAGAAAGAGAGAGAGAGACAACAACCTTCCCTCCCTTCTACTCGCTCTCTCACTCACACGCGCTTCTCCTGAGGAAGCAGTATGAAAGCCGACACAGTATGGGCTGAGGACCATAGTGAGGACACCCACCGCTGAAAGACACAGGGACAGAGGCAAAACGGACAGAAAGAGTGCAAGAAACATCAGCAAAGAAGGTGTGAACACATTCAAAAGAGGAACAAGGAGAGACAGGCTGGAAAATAGGTAGGAGGGAGCCGTGGAGACGGATCGAGAGAGAGGAACAGCCCGTCTGTCTGTGGCGGGACAGCAGACGCTGAACGCACGCGGACCAGACACTCACACGCACACCATGGTGGTCCAGGCGGCCGTAACGCCCAGTAGGACCCGCAGGCTTCTCCTTAAGCTGCCGGTGGGGACGCTGAGGCGAAATAGCGAGGAGAGGGTAAGACGTGAGACGATCCATGAGTCTTGTGTGTTTTTGAATGCTGGCTCAAGGTTATCAAGGACTGTCAGTGACGGCACTTGTGTGTTAGTTTGTCTGCATCCTTGCAGCTGAGGAGACAATGGAGATAATTAGCCGATTGTGTGTTGCCATGATGGATGTGCACCTGTGTAAGTGCTTTACAGAGAATCTCAGTGAATTGTGTTGTTTTCATGCTTCATATGCCTCTTATGATGGTCACTGTCACAATTATGGCTTTCTGAGGTCTGTGACAGTTCGAATGACAGTGTTGCGTAATAGTGTTTGTTCACTGAAGATACTGGTATCTGTGATTACCCCAAAACATGCAGTAACCTGCCCAGTTATGTGAATCACGTTAGCAGACAAAATACGGTGAGCTTCATCTCACTGCACTGACTGTCATTTACTGGAACTGCTACAGGGTAAAAGTTCTGTGCGTACAGATGTGTGTGTGTGTGTGTGTGTAACTGTGTACACATGGGTTTGCTTTCGTTCTATATGTGGGTGTGTGCATCTCTATATATGTGTATGTGTGTGTGGGTGGACACTTTGTGCCATCAAAAGAAGTAATAATTTAATAATCATAGAGATTCAGGTTCTTAAAAAAAATCACAAATGCAAAATAGAATGATGATTTAAAGCCTGATGATTTTATCATATAAGTTTGTAAATTTAAATAAATTTATATATACATTTTCTTTATTTTAAAATTTTAAATATGTGTAATAAAATATGTATATAAATATGTATAAATATATATGATGACATAGCCATTATATAGGCAGTTTTTTATCATGTTATTAAATTATTTATTATATCATTTATATGTAAAAAGTAATCATAGTTATGAATATTATTGATATTATTTAATGATAATGTATAATATATATATATATATGTGTGTGTGTGTGTGTGTGATTTTAAATATTAAATTGAATGATTAACAACTTACTATTCTTATTTATTTATTTTTGTCTATCTTATCCATCTCTCTGACTGTCTGTAATTTTTATTTGTAATTATTTATTTTATTTTTGAAATATTATATATACAATATATATATATGACAAAATACGGTGAGCTTCATCTCACTGCACTGACTGTCATTTACTGGAACTGCTACAGGGTAAAAGTTCTGTGCGTACAGATGTGTGTGTGTGTGTGTGTGTAACTGTGTACACATGGGTTTGCTTTCGTTCTATATGTGGGTGTGTGCATCTCTATATATGTGTATGTGTGTGTGGGTGGACACTTTGTGCCATCAAAAGAAGTAATAATTTAATAATCATAGAGATTCAGGTTCTTAAAAAAAATCACAAATGCAAAATAGAATGATGATTTAAAGCCTGATGATTTTATCATATAAGTTTGTAAATTTAAATAAATTTATATATACATTTTCTTTATTTTAACATTTTAAATATGTGTAATAAAATATGTATATAAATATGTATAAATATATATGATGACATAGCCATTATATAGGCAGTTTTTTATCATGTTATTAAATTATTTATTATATCATTTATATGTAAAAAGTAATCATAGTTATGAATATTATTGATATTATTTAATGATAATGTATAATATATATATATATATGTGTGTGTGTGTGTGTGTGATTTTAAATATTAAATTGAATGATTAACAACTTACTATTCTTATTTATTTATTTTTGTCTATCTTATCCATCTCTCTGACTGTCTGTAATTTTTATTTGTAATTATTTATTTTATTTTTGAAATATTATATATACAATATATATATATATGATAATTATAAATTGCAATATAAATTATATAAAACATTAAATACTATCAGTAATATACATTTATATACATTGGCCAGCCTACTTTCTTGACATCAGATCAACATTGGCCATGGAAAATGACCACTTCTATCAAACTATCTTCAAATGACATTAAAAGAACATTTTAAAAATGTATATCTCTTTGCATGATGATGAAATGGCCTACATTCATGCCTATTTCATATGGCTGTTGTGTGCCAGCTTAATTTGAATCCCGTCGTGCACTAAAATTACATGAAGTGTTTAATATTTCACAATGCCATAGTACACATTACGTCTCTCTCTCTCTTTCTCTCTTTTTGCACTGAGACAGATGTGTGTAATTACAGCAGTTTGAATTATTGATTAGAGGATTTCCTCACACACACGCCCTGCAGAGCTCTCCTCCTCTTCACTGTCATTCTCTGTGGCCTGAGGCTGTCCCTTCAGCTGCCGGGAGTTTTAGCGGAGAAATTGTAGACACTTAGCTCTAACTGCATTGTGGCATGATGCCTAAATGCATGTACATGCAGACTGACATGCAAAACTAACTTGAATGACTTACTCCCTGTAATATCCAGCACTGCGAGAGCATGTGAATTTGTGTGTGCATGTAACTCAGATTCACTGTGATTCTTCATTACTGTGAAAGCAGCTTTAGAAAGCTCTGTTTCCACCCTCAGAAAGCTGAGTCGGCAGGCAGCAGAATCCATCCACTCAACTGATCTAACACGAATTTCGTTAGCACATGTTGCAAAACTCTACTGCGTCTCATGTGAGATTCTCTTGATAGCCAGGCTGCTTTGCATCGAATGCGTGTGCAAGAACTTGCCAGAGGAGAATGGATATGACAGTCGAGACTAAAGCTTCTTAGTTTTGCGCCAGACCAGCTGGAGAGGAACATACTACCATCTGAGATACTCCTGTACCTGCTGGGATAAGTTAAAAAAGACTGGCAACTCAATCTGAAGTCCTGCTGGTAGAAACATGTCAGATACATGTGGGCCAAAAAGACTCTCTTAGATCTATGTGCTTTTGGAAGAAACATTTTATTTTATCTTATTGTTTTGATATGTTCAAATGACATTAAACATTTTTTTGCATATACAGTATATAAATATTATTATAATTTTACATATATTTATTTTACATATATATAACTATATTTTTAATATAATTTTATTGTATAAAATGTTCATTGATAATTTTACATATTTAGATAGATTTGGGGATTTTTGGATGTGTGTGTGTGTGCATATATATATATATATATATATATGTAGCAATGTCTGCCACTCTCACAAACTTTCATCTCACAATTTCTTGCCTTTTTTCGCACTTTCTCTTCCATTTCTTCAGCTGTCTGTCTGCAAGAAGGCATGTTTAATCTATCGTATGTCCATATGGGTCATAACTAGGGTACAGATGTCTACCATCCTGTTTAACCATCAATTATGAGCTGTCAGTCAGAGGGCAACCGAGGCAGTGTAATGGTTCATTCAACCAAAATCACTCTGACTGATGAGTTGAATAATATGACGCTGCCAATCACCCAAAAACTGTTCACTTTTAGACTAATGAAACATGATGGAAGTTTTTGATGGACCGATTTTCTTGGCTTTGCCTTGTGTTTTCATTAGAACATGTCTTTAGGCTGCGGCGTGCCTTTAAGAGGCAGCGCTGGTCTTAATAAAGGCCTGTGGTGTGGTGTGTGTCTGTCTCACTGGGTTGCGTTGATTGGCTCTTTTGAAACACGGTTGTAATTTAGGGATTTCCTGTGAGGACTGCAGACAAGGTTTTGGGGGACGGCAGCAGTTGATAAGGCATTACCGTTGCTATTAGCAGACAAAGAGATTTAATCAAAGGAACAAGGGCTTCATTCTCAATCTCTGATTACTAGGCTTCTCAAACCCCCCTCTTTCCCCTCATTGTTTTTTTCCTTCCCCTTGTCTTTTGTGTTTGTTTTCTGCCATCTCTCATTTTCATCTGTTTGAGTGATTTTGACTCGCAGCTCCCACAGACGGCAGACATACATCACAGGATAATCACAGAGCCAGAGAGGCTTTGTCAGAGAGGACAAGTTGTTGTGGGTGAATCTCACAAAACACGTCCATGTTTCACCCCAAAAGCAACAGAAAAAATACACTGTAAAAATGATATGATCAGTAAGTCATGGCAAGTTATTTAACTCATCAAAATAAGTTGAGTGACTTCAGCTTTTTTGTATAAGTTATATGACATTCAAATTGATTTTTTAAGTCTCTTTAATGTAATTTAAGTTCAAATGACTTGTACAACCAAGTTGATCATATTTAAAATAAATGTAATGCAATAAGGATTTTTTTTTACAGTGAATGCAAAAGATATATTTTGACTAAGAAAATTAAGACTATTTGCATTGTAAAAAAGTCTGATAATTTTTTTATATGTTTTTGAAAGAAATCTCTTATGCTATCCAAGGCTGCATTTATTTGATTAAACTACTGTAAAAACAGTAATATTGTGAAATAGTTTTACAATTTAAAATAACTGTTGTTTTTTAATATATTTAAAAATGTAATTTATTCCTGTGATGCAAATCTGAATATTCAGCATCATTACTCCAGTCTTCAGTGTCACAAGATACTTCAGAAATCATTCTAATATGCTGATTTGCTGCTCAAGAAAACATGTATTATTATTATTATTAATGTTGAAAACAGTTGTAGTGCTTAATGTTTTTGTGGAAACCGTGATACATTTTATCAGGATTCTTTGATGAATAGAAAGTTCAAAAGATCAGCATTTATTTAAAATAGAAATATTCTGTAAAAGTATCAGTTTTTAATTTTTTACTGTCACAATTTAATGCATCCTTGCTGAATAAAAGTAATAATTTCTTTAAAAAAAAAAAAAAAAAAATTATGAACCCCACAATTTTGAACATTAGTGTTAATATATGTCTAATTGACTATGACATATAATTAGAAATTAAAAGAATAAAATATCAAATAATAAAAATATATAGGCTACTATAAAATATATTTTAAGAAAATACAATTAGAAAATGTTGTTTCGTATTGCATTAATGATAAGATTTTTTGCATTACATTTATAAGAATTGAAGGGGGAATGCATTTAATTATCATGAAAATAATGTTACAGTGCACAAAATCTTAATGGTCCATTAACAGGCGTTTTCTTCTTCAAA